TGATTTTACCTAAATGCCTTACATTAACTTAAATACGAGGGTATTTCAAAAAGCTCATGGAAAGATTCATATTATCTTTTAATTCTACTTACCCACAAACTTTTTGAAGTAACCTTGTATGTTTAAAACCAAATGCCTCAGCTTCTTCCTCTACAGTATGTTTGTGGATCTGTAGTTGAATGTCACCAATATATACCCAGCAAACCACATCAGAAACCTGGATTATCTGTCACTGTCTTCTCCTTTATTTCCTTATAATCATCTAGCAGTTCCTATCAGTTATATGTACCTCTTTTATCTATCGCTTCTTCTCCTTTGCTACTGCTGTAGTGTAGGAGTTTCTCTCCTCTTATTTTGCCCTTTATAGTTTTCCTGCCTCTACCCAGTCTTGTCGTTTTCAGTACGGCCATTGGATTTGTTCCACACACCAAACTTTCTTACTACCATAGCTTTGCATACATCGTTCTGACTCCTGGAATGACTTCCTTCTTTCTCTGCTCAGTACACTTTAACTTCTCCATTAAGGTTACCCCAAGAGGCAAAAGTGGTGGATATTTTATAAATACTTAGAAACTGACCAACTTATAGACACCATGCAAAATACTTTATATTCATTATTTAATTTCCCTGACATGCCTGTTGCTAAAAGCTATTATAGCTCTCATTTTATAGGAAACTGAGAGAGCACAGGAGGCCATACATTGCACCTCCTTTTATTTTTTAACGTGTTTTAAATATCATATAATTTTAATATGTTAAATAGCATGTTATTTAATATATTATACACATGTACATATACATATACAAATATACATATATAGATATAGGTAGAAACATAGATATATAACAAAGAACATGTTCTATACTATATCTATATACAAATCTATAGATATAAATAGATAGTTTTAGGTTAACCCTAGGAGGGAGCCACACTTGGAAATTACTTCCGTGGCTATTACTTGAGTTGATATCAGAAGCTACCAAAATTTAAATGTAAAATTTCTGCATGTGTCAAAATTTAAAAATCCTACCATTGTCTAAAAAATGGGTCCAATTGGGGCCGGCCCGTGGCTCACTCGGTAGAGTGCGTTGCTGATAACACCAAGGCCACGGGTTCAGATCCCATATAGGGATGGCGGGTTCGCTCACTGGGTGAGCGTGGTGCTGACAACACCAAGTCAAGGGTTAAGATCCCCTTACCGGTCATCTTTTATTTTATTTTATTTTTTTTGCTTTTTGTCTTTTTTCGTGTCCGGCAACGGGGTCGCAACCCTCAGTGCTGCACCCGCACCTCACTCAGCCAGTGGGCGGGAACCGGTCTGTATGTGGGATCTGAACCCTCGGCGGGAGCGCCACTGCACTCCCAAGCGGCGCACTGTAGCAGTGAGCCACCGGGCCAGCCCACCGGTCATCTTTTGGAACCGGTCTGTATGTGGGATCTGAACCCTCGGCGGGAGCGCCACTGCACTCCCAAGCGGCACACTGTAGCAGTGAGCCACCGGGCCGGCCCACCGGTCATCTTTTACATCTTTTAAAAAAAAAAAAATGGGTCCAATTGGCATCATGCCACCTATGGTAGGGAAAGGAGAGAAGAAACTTAAACCAGCAAATTAACTATATCAAAGAAAATTTATTGAGAAAATGTAATAACAAAGAGCACTATTAACACACTTCACACTGACAGGAAATTTAACCTCCAAGTGAAACAGTCTTTAGTAGTTAGGAAGGGAGAGAGGGTAGGGGGTGGAAAGCACATGTCCTTAGCATATACCCAGATTCACATTTTGTGGCTCATGAAGATAAAGGTGCTCAGTTATGGCAAAACGAATGCCTGTCAACTAAATTGCTTAGTATACAATTGAGCAGTCCATTTATATATTATATAAAAAACATTCTTGGAGTAATAGTCATTTCACCTAAAGAGTCCCTTGAATCTGCCTAATTGGCTAGTGTTTCCAGCATTAGCAGTTTAATAGTAGACTGGATTTACAATTTGATCTCTTTAAGAGTTATTACCCTTTGGTAAGAACAAATAAAAGAAATGTATTCTTGCCTTTCTCCCTTGAATCAGTTTTGGGGACTTTGCCAATTTTGGTATAAGATCTAACCGATTAAATATTTACATTTTGTATGCATATGTTCTTTCCATAGTCTGATGGGTGTAGCATGGTTAACCAATATTCTATACACATAAAGTTGTCCAAGTCAGGATACCAGACTGCACTTTCCAACCCCAAAAGGCGTGCTTTTTCCCTTGAAATTGTGTCATTGTAGTTTACATATTGAGTTTATAATGTACTCTGACAGAGGATGGCTATGTTACATGTAACTTAAGAACTGCCCCCCCCTTTTTTGGTAGCAATAGATATAGTTCATATTTAATTACAATAATCTTATTAAACCATTTAAAATCAGGCATTCTTCTAGTAACTTATATAACGGGGTTTATATGGTACAGTTCAGGCTTTCACAAACACCAATAGGGTTCTGCTCTTCTATAGTATACATGAAATAATCTGTAAAGATTAACTTAATTCTTAAAGTACTTTGAATACCTTGCCCAAGGTTACACAACTAATGCAAAAAGTGGCAAATTCAGATCTCAGACCCTTGTGTATCTGACTCTACAGCCCATAAACTTAACCACTAAATTTTACTGCAAATTTAGGTACACTTTCCTCTTTGCTCTTAATACACACACACAGAGAGAGAGAGAAACACACACATATACTTGTATGTGTACATGTCTCCATCATCCTTATTATTTGGTAGTTGTTTAATTCAATCTAGACAAGCTCATCGAGGGTTGGGACTGAGTCTTTTGACATTTGTATCCCAGGACACAATGCATGTACAAAGTTGATGCTAACTGTGTATTGGTTGAATGAGAAATTAAAAGTATAGCTGACAAATTAAGAAGAATCACGCTTAAAGAAGGAGAAGGTGCAAAAGAAGTAAACAAAGACAAGACTGAGGGAAGGCCATTGGATTTTTTACTAGAATTTCTTACATTTCCTACTCTGATTAGAATATTCTTATCATTGGGACTTGAAGCTATGTTGCAAGGACATGAGGAGTGAGTGAGTTACAATCCAGATTGGAAATTCTCATAAAGGGTATGGCAGAAGGGATGACAAGTAGATGGTGAAGAAATATGAGTGGAAGCATCAAATGTAGCATGCTGGTAAAAGGGAGGAGGAAGCTGCTGGTTTCAGAGGATAAAGAGTTGAAGAACTTCCCCCCAAACTGGGGAGGCCTCTAGAGTAGTGATTAAGAGCTTGAGTTTGGAATCAGACCCAAATTTCAATCCTGTCTTGGTAGCTATGTGACTTTTGATGAAATACTTAACCTCCTTCAGCATCCTCTGTAAAATAGGGAAAATAATAGTACTGATTCATCGTAAGTTGTTGTGAAGGTTAAATTATATGATCTACGTAAAGTCCTTAACTTCATATACATAGTAAACTCTCGGTAAATAATAGCAATTATCAAAGATTTAGTAGGCTGAAACATAGTCAAATAATTTCCTGGCCCAAGATCATATTCACTGATATTATCTCTTAAAAGCCTCTTTTGCTTTTTAAGCCTAAATTATCTGTAATTATGTTATGTTTAAAAGGATTAAGTTCTCTAATTAAAAGACAAAGATTAGTAAAATAGAAAAGATGAAACCCTAATATATGCTTTAAAAAGGACAGAAAATTTGAGCGTAAAAGGATGTTTTAGAAAAGTCATTTTCACTCTAACATAGATATCATGACCTACATCTCTATTTATAGATTTATTTTTAAACAGCTTTATTGAGATATAATTACATGCCATACAATTCACCCATTTAAAGTATAAAA